GCAGGCACTACTAACCCAGTGGCCTGTTTTCAATTGTATTTCAGCCATATTGTCACCAACAGATTGATTTCTTATGCTGTAGGAAGTGGTTCATCCTGTACAAGTTTGAGCTAAAGGATTCCTTCAAAATATTCTGTCTTATTGGATATATTACTGCTTCATTGTAACTACATGTCTGTGAAAGCTGATCAAACATTGCAGTGAACATGATTGTCAATTCTTCAAAGACCATATTTGTTCTTCTTACTAGATCTAAAGTAACAGGAGATAATACTTGCCAGATGTATGCATTTCCAATCTACTATTGCCTATGCTGTTCCTTTATGTGTCGGGCTATTTGAACACAATGGTTTATTGTTGCGTGAATTAAGTGCAAAAATAAATTTTAGGACGTCCATACAAAGCCAGTGTTTGTACAACCACATATTTTTATGATAAGAAGTCATACACTGTCAGAATGTGAAAAATCTCTTCTGCCTCATCCCCCAGGTCGGGATATGCTTATAAATGTGCACATTCGGGCATTATCAATTAATCTGCCAATTCTAGAAAAGATTCTCGATGAGGTGATTCATTTCTTGGTCTTCAGAATGTCAGAAAATAACAAAAGATGAGTTTCCCTTAGCCTTACATGATGTCTTCAGATGTCTTTGTCTGTCCAACCAACAGTCCAAACCACCGTGATAATAAATGTACTCTCACAAGTACCTAGGTTGCTGGAAACAGTGAATTTTTTTCATTTCTTCATCTATAATTAGAATTGTAGCCGATTAAATGACTAATTGTTTCAGCATGTGTGTACTTGACTTTAACACTACTACTTGGCAGTAACACCCACTGATGTGGGTGTTACTGTGTGTCGCCGTTACTTATGTGTTTCTCTATACAGGGTATGTGTAGAGTGTGTAAGTGCATTGCCTGATGAAATGTAGCGACTCAGTGAAGCAAACCTGAAATGTCATTTTGTTTATATGGATTTCACTCTCTGCTCACGCTCCGTTTTGCATTTCCACCTTCACCTCATGTTTCTCATGTCAAATCATCTTCTATGTATTTCAATCGCACATACTGAGACTCAGTTATTCACGGTCTCACTTTTTTTTTACTCAAGCCTGTCAAACTCAAGATAGAATATAAATGAATCTGTAGTTTGCAGCCTTTTCAAACTCTCTCCGTGACTTGCTCACTCACACTCTATCTGACCCCTTTCCTCTCACCACCTCCACTGCCTACATTGTCATTAGAGTGAATCTCTCAGAGTTGAACCCTTCATGCTTGTATGTTGTCAGATCATAGGCTCTGGAACAGATGTCAACCCAAATGCACAGTACTCCACCACGCCCTAGTCCTGTATAATAATAGAGGATAGCTATGTATGGTAATTGTAACATGTCATATTATATGTAGTTATCAATTATGCCAGAAATTACACATCTGTTTATGCGGAACAGTAGTCTCATCAGTCCATGCCATGGTTCAGACTGGAGTTATGGAAATTATCAGGGGCAGGAGCACAAAAGGAATTCAGTAGGCTGGAGGATCAAGTGCTGCATAGAGGGTTAAATGCCCAAGGCTGGTTGAACTGCACAGTTAAGGACACACTGGAGAAATGCTGTACTAATAGTCTAGACATTTACTGATGAACAACATTGTCACAGGAGAACAAGAGAAGTAGATATATGTGGCAGGGCATAGAAGCATGTATACAGCACAGGTCAGTCTGTGCAAGCATGTGTGTGTTTTCTCATATGTCCAGACCTCTGTGTATCTAGAAGAAGTAGCAGCAGCAAAGTTATTGGCATTCACAGTGCTCAGCTCAAACGAGCAGCCTACCAAGCCACTGCCCCCTGAAGAGTATCCCTGCCTCGTTTATTTCTTGAAAGCTTCCTCTGCTCTCCTTTCCCTCTCTTATTCTGTGGGGCCTCTCCCTCTCGTGCTCTATCCATCTCTACCCCCACCCTCTTCCTCTCTATCATTCGTCTTGCTGCATTGCGAACCCAAGCAGCTGGTTGAGAATCCCCACAGACCTGCTTCAGCTGACCTCTGCTACACACATTTGTTAGGTTTGTTTGTTTTTTTTAATGCAATGTGGATGCACTACAGTGTGTATGTATGGATTTGCTTTAGCGCCCTGTCCGATCCTCTAGGAGGAGTATAATGCAGTTTTTTTTTTAGCTGTCATCTCCTCTTTGCCACCCACCCTCATCACTTTAAGTAATGTAATAATGTCATCCCCTCTTTGAATAGCATTAACATAACTGTGTTAACACTTTGTGAAAGCATGTCGTGAAACCCAGGTCCTTGGTCCATAACTATGTGTTGCCATCTGAATGAGGCAGGTAGACATGAATAGAATTGTAAATGGCTTCTGTGAAAAGGGGGAAAGGGGCCAACCCTCTAACAAATTGCACATAAACAAATAGCCACAGGCCATTGGTTGAGCCACTGCCAACGTGTTTGAGAAGTGAAGGAGAGAGAGAGAGAGAGAGAAAGGAGATTGTAGGAAGGGTGCATTCCTTTCCACATAATTAGGTTTTATTTGGCTCTCTAAGCTTGGATCATATCCTCTTTCCTCCTCTTCATCATTCTCACCACCCCTCTCTCGTTTTCTTATCACTTTGTCAGCATAATGCTACTTGCAACAACCATTGGGACTCAAGCAGCTCTGGCTCTCTGATGGAGACAGCGTGTGAGTCATGAAATTAAAAAAAACACTGAAAATATGTTATTGGGTGGAGAGATGTGAGAAGGTAATAAGGTGACTGACATTTCCTTGTAATTTTATTTGGATTAAGTTTTGGCTCAGCTGCCCTCAGCTCTTGCCAGATGAGGTTGACTCACGTTACTGCAACACAACTTCAAGTGGTGAAACCTGAGCTAACACCACAGAAAACAGACATCCATACATATACCCAGAATATGTGAGATTTCATCATCAATTAGTTGAGAATATATGTGAATTAAATTACCAGAATAGTTATAATGTTTGAGTAGAACATACCGTTGAAGAAACATGGGTGATTCAAATTCAAATATAAAAGCACAAAAGCAGCATAAGGCAAAAATGGAAGGAAAAAAAAAAAGATACAGACGCTATCATCCGTCTCTTTTTATTTCAAGTAGCACAGAGACCGGAGGGGATTTGTTGTGATGGCAGTAGAGTGTAATGTGATTTATGTTTCCACAGCATGGGGAACAGGTCCTTCAAATGTAAGTAGGACAGCCGTATTAAGGGAAGTTCTCAGATGACAATACTGAACGAGAGCTGATCGTAATGGAGGCTTGTTCAATCGGGCAAAATATGCAGCCATATAGGAAATATATCTGAAAATATTTGCTGTCATACATAGAAATCAGATTGCATCAAGCCGTTTCTGAGCAGATATAAGAAACTAAGTATTGCATTTAAGATTTTGAATTGCTGTTGGTGATCTGTCTGTAGAAACAAGATTTTATCCTCTGCCTCAACTAAAGCCAGGTCATCTCATTTTCTTTACAGAAAATGTGTAGCTTCACAGTATATATACTGCTTTTAACATACTAAGAGTTTGTCTATATGTTCCTCATTTCAGTTGTGGCCCAAGGGCGATGTAAAATTATGGTCATATGTCAGAACCCTCAGGGGGAACAAAGCGTAAAGGTGACTGCTGATGTGAGGGTTGACTTTAGGCTAACAAAATACTCAGTCTTTAAAACAAGCTTAATTTGAATGTAAAGTTACTCCTCTAAGGACTGTAGGGACTGACATTACCAACCAAGAATAACAAACATGGTAATACCATTTTGAGCTTTAATGAGAAAGTCCCGGCTCCTCAATGCTGACTCCAAGTTGTTTTCTGTATCCTGTATAAGAGTTAAGCATTCAACTCAAATAGGAGTAATTTTAAGGATACAAGTGAGGAGCATAAGATGGAGTGGCAGCTGAAAGAGTGATTGAAATGCCCTGCAGAGCTGAGATAAGAGTTTAAAAAGAAAAATGGTAAATATTATGGCGAGTCCACACAGAATATTTCTCCAAAATTACTCACAACTTCTGTTGACTCTTTGAGGAATAAATTATATGCTTTAAGATCACATCAGTAAGTACCAGGAAAAACAGCCTTATGTGTAGATTGACCTCCATGCATTTTTGAAAGGATTTCATTAGAGATTTGAGGATTTTTCCAACTTTGAATCATATGATCCTACAAATGAAATGGGGGAAAAATGTAAGTCACCAACATTGGATTAACCGAAGTTTCACCCAACAGCACCAATATATCCAGTGTTTGAGGGCTGAAAAGTAACTGGGTTGTAAAGAATTTATCTTAAAGCTGGGGGATACAGTTTATATAATGATATTAGCTTGGTGTGCGGCTGAAGCAAAACATTATTTTCATTATTGATTATTTTCTCAATTAATTATCCATAAAATGTTAGAAAATAGTAAAAAAAAAAAACAAAAAAAACAAAAAACAAAACAATGGCTATCACTGTTTGTAATGCTACGGCTTAATTGATTTCCTCTTCCTGAAGGACACAGGAGGGATTTTATTCCTGAACTCTTGACAGTTTTATTGGAGTGAAATGAACAGTAAATGCCTCAAGCTGATTTGCCAACACTGTTCTTCCTCCTACTTTTTCCTCCTGGTTAATTGTGACTAACCACTATGTTTCTTCTTTTGGACCCACCTTGTGGAATCTGCTGCATCACTGAAGACAAACTGTTTCAGTTTTAGTGTCAGTCACCTCCCTCCCCCTCTTCACAGCCCACACAGCCACTGGCCTCTACAGCAGAGACAGACAGAGGCAGGCAGGGCTTCATATGCAAATATAGCCTGAGTAGGCGGCAGCCGAAAGCAGAGTGTGCAGCAATGTGAGGACTCTAACAAGCCCCACCCACAGAAGCCAGTTGCTAGGCAACCACCCGCAAGGGGGAGGCAGGGGGGAGGCGGGGCCATGAATTCAACAACTGTTGCCTGATCTGAGCTCTCACTGTGTGAATGCGAGTCAGCCGGCAAACCAGCCAGCCAGAGAGGGACAGTGTGTGAGTGTGAGGGTGTGAGGTGCAGAGTCTGTGCTTGTGTTTGTGTGTGTGAGTGTGTATGTGTGTGACGAGAGAGAGAGAGAGCGAGGCAGTGTAGGAAAAGCCAGGCAGCCGGTGCAGTGTTTTAAAGTGAACGATACATTGTGCTCCGCTCCTCTGCCTCTCTTTGGACTATACCACTAACAGGGACTCACCCCTTTGGACTATCCCGACTCGTCCTCCTCCTCTTGCCTTTGAAGGGAACACCTGTGTGTGTTGAGTGTGTATGTGTGCGTGTGTGCGTGTGTGTGTGTGTGTGTTTGTGTCGAGACAGACTTAGCCCAAGTGATCAGGGCAATTGGATGACTTCGGTGGATGAGGGTTTGGCTGGTGGAAAGAGGGGGATTGCTGACCATGGACTCCCCTCACTTGTAAACGGGGTAAGCAACCAGACTGCACCCAGCCTGCTGAAATGAGGGGGTGATGAAAGATCACTTGACGGAATGAGAACAAAACAGGGAAAGGAGTCAAAAGAGAGACATGAGGGTGTAGTGAATGAATAGAAAAAAGGACAGATAGTTAATATGTTAGGGGTAAGACTGGCTAGTTAAAGGGGGGCAATTCAGCTGCAGTGTAGAGTCCATTGTCCCCCAGTATGCGTTTGAATATGTGGGTGTTGTTGCATGTAGTTGACCCTGCCTCACAGCTTGCCTGTCTGTCTTGCTCAGCTGTTCGTGTCTGTGTCATCACACGGCACAGTCCTGTCTCTTCTGCTCACTCTCTTTTCATCCCTGTTTGCTTCACAGTGTCCCCTCCTATCATCTTTCTCTCTGTCTCTGCCGTTCACTTTCTGTTTGCTCTGTTGCGGTTCAACGTCTCTCTGAAGGTAATGGGATTAATTGGAAACCAGGGTAGCTGGAAGGGGAGAGAATGACAGAGAGAGGGAGCAAAGGAGTGATCACAAGAAGTGTGCAGGGGAACGGGGTAGATATTGATTGACCGTGCAGGTACAGATAGATTGAAAACAAAAGAAAATTGAGGAATGGCGTAAATGCAATAATAGGCGTGCTGTCTAACAGGACTGAGGGGAATGGTTTTGGTATCTACAAGTATAATTGAAGTTATTTTTGTTTATTGTGGCCATAGTTTAACATTTAAGATGTTGCAGGAGGAAGAACATTATAGGTATGCTGTCACATAACTGATAAACATAGAGCAAACTGTAGAAGTTGATTTTATATTTGATTTAATTAGACATGTTCAGATGCCTTAAATCATGTTACAGTAAGATTGTGACAGACACCTGTGACAATCTGTTAAATAGGCTTAACAATATTTCAGGTTATAGGGACGTCTAGATGATCAGAAAAGCGATAATACTTGTGCTGTTGGCAGTAACCTCTTGACTGTTTTGACTCTACTAAGTCTTGTATTGTCAACAGTATTAGCCTGTTGATAATACAAATGATGCCTGTTGCACCTTTTGTACCTGCTAATATTCATTCATTACTCCAAAAATAGACAGGTGAGGTTTTATTTGTGTTGTGGTGATCTCAATAGCAACATGTGACGTCAGTCACTTTGAATGCTCCAGGTCTGTGACTGGACATTACATAATGAGATTTACTCGTCCTCTGCTAAGCATGAAATTCTCTTCTGATTGTTCCAGGCCCGAAACCTTCCAAGAAGACTTTGGTTTTCCACTAAAATTATTTTGGTTATTTTCATAGATTGTTTATTGTGATTGCATGGAGTAGCTACAGAGCACAAGTACTGAGACTGAGAATAACTGAGTATAACTGAGGATGTAGTTGTCATATTATTGGTATGTAGTTGCACGTGGTTACACTATACATTCATTTGATATTGTTGTCTTAAAAAAAAAAAAAAACGACATTCAGCCAAGTGTCTTTGACAGGGCACAGTGCGTACACCAGGACTAGAATAACTAGATTAACATACAGTACTTAGCTGTACTGGATGAATGGGGACTAATCTGCAGCAGTTATAACAGTCATTCCTTACACTGATACAGAGAGACGGAGAAACAAAAATATACCTTATACTTAAAAAAAAAAAAAAAAAAAAACGTAACACAAACAAATTTATATCTTCTTAGTCACACATTTAATGTATTAGTTTAATAAGAAAAAAAAGGAAACCTCAAATTTGTGCTGAAAATCTACAGAAGCCCTTTTGGCTCTCATTTTCCTTTTTAGAAAATGTTTAAAATTAGTTTTTGTGAGCACAGAATACAAAAATTGGAATAGCAGCTGACAAGGGGCAGCGGCCTGACCACCTGCTGAGGGTCTGCCACCAATGACACACTGAAATGCCCCCATTCAATAGTCAGCAGCGAGAGGGCTGACAAACAGTCGCTTTGAGAAAGACAATGCACTTTGTTAAAGAAACACAGTGAGGTGCTGTCTTTTCTTTTCACTGGACATCAGTTTGTTGACACAGAAAGGGCATCCAGTACGCTAGACACAACACACTTTGGCTGTGAGATGCATGAACAATGAATAAGACAGAGAGTTGTTAAGTGTTTGTGTTGCTACAAATGAGTTAGGGTGTGAACTTTTCCTTGATGATGAGTCTAACTTCTCTTCTTACAATCCCTAACAATAGTAGTGATGATGATTCAAGGGAAACATGACTGAACCATCCCAAATACTGAATCAGTGGATCGCAGACATAAAACAAAAGGTTCAAAGGTTTCAACACCTAAATGGGAACAATTACTGCTTTTATGTTTTATATCATTGTAAATTAAATGCCCATGTGTTTTGGACTGTTGGTTGAACAAAACCAGACTTATTCAAAGTTGTTGCTTTTTGGTTCTGGGAAATTGTCAGGGACCGTTTCCCCCAGTGGACTGTATCACACTGTCTGTTGTAGGGCTACAAACAGAACACACTCTTGACTTTGGTTTGACTTCTGTGTGTTCATGTCAACTTCCTGGTTTTGGTGTGAAGCAATAGTGTGTTTAATTCAAACATGCTGTTAAGCAGTTGTCAACAACGTGAGAGTTCAGAGCAGGTGGTTTACAGTTAGAGGGCAAACGGGCTAAATAACCTACACACCTGCTTACTTCGTGTGAGAGCTTCTCATAATTACTCTTCAATATGACACTAATACTCTACACTTGGATTTTTGTGACACGTGGACACATTTAGCCTCAATTTTTACTTTGAAGTTTCTCCCTCTCCAGGATTGGAAACACGTGCACACAGATAAGAAAGTGCCACACTGCACTGGACTATGCCTTTTTCGGATATTACATATTTACATACTGGCACACAAACTTGCACATGTAGCGCGTTGACTGGATGTACCAGCAGCAGTCAGCAGGATACACAAGTTGCTGTGAATGCAGCTTTGTAATCTGCAATTAATAGAGCTAACTTGTCCCATCATGTTCTTGGGGACCATGTCTTTGGAATTAAAGATGCAGTTCACTCATTAATTCACACAAATAAACACGCATTAAAAAGCAGGAAAAGGGCTCTTGCATCACTCATGATCAGGTGATGTATTTCAAGTTTGCCTTGTTTAACGGCCCTACACACACCCTTACACACAGGCTGAAACACTGATGAGGATCTTCACTGGCAGCACTCACTCCTGTCACTACTACCTGGTGTTGACCTTTTATTCCAAATCTGATCTGAATGTTAATCTTCACTCTGAAATCCATATTTTCATTTATAACACTCTCTTGATGAAGTCAGGACTAGTTAAAAAAAAAAAAGAAAAAAAAAAAAAAAAGCTCACTATTTTTGACCTACCTCGTCTTGTGAGGTTTTATTTTTTAAGGACGTCATTCTGCGGATTCAGAAACACAAGAGTAAACACAGGCACACACACTCTGTTTCACAGCTTGGGGTTTCCTGTGTGTATGTAAGTGGGGTTTCATTGAAAATACCTCCACACAGTCTCCCGGGTGCTGCTCCAGTCCCTCCCTACATTGTCCTTTGTCCAGTGTAGCATTCCTGGTAATCCAGCCAGCTACCTGTTTCCCTTGAGACTCAGGTGAAAACAAATATGTGTGTGTTTGTGATTAAACCCTGTGTAGACAGAGGGGCAGTGTTTCTATATATGTGAAGTTGTGTCTGTCAAGCTGCTCTAAAAGCCCCAGCTTTGACTTGAAGATGAATGAGCAGTGAGAGAGAGGTTATATTTAAGAGTTCAAACAATGGGGAGTCTCAGGTGTTTTTGTATAGTATCTCAGTTGAGTGTGTGTGTGTTTGTGTGTGTGTCTCATTTACTGAAACCTTAAGTTTCACACAGTGTTGATTCAACAAAATGATCGTGTAATATGAGTCATTACTTCCCTTTGTGTAATGTGTGAGTGTGTGCGTACGTAGGAAGAGTATTACTTAGCATAGAAGGTGAATAATACATACAGACACACAGACACATGCAAACAAATTGTGTGTTCATGCTTCCCTCCCTTGGAATTTTGCAAAAGTGGTATTGATACAATCCGTTTGATCATTGCTCAACAAGCGAAGGCTGTTTAAAGGTAGTGTGTGTACATTAGGGCTGCCACTAACAATTATTTTTTTCTTAGATTAATAAGTTGATTGTTTCATTTTGTCTATAAGATATTGGGAAATAATGAATAATTTCCCAGAGCCCAACAACCAAAATTTAAATTTTTAATATTATGTATGACAGAGAAAAACAGAAAGTATTTGCATTTGAGAAGCAAATGTTTGGTGTTACTTGTTTGAAAAATGATGATTGACGAATCGGTTAACTGACTGATCATTTCAGCTTTTGCGTTCTTTTGTGAAATAGAAGGATCTTGTGAGGTTCTTTAAAGCCTCCTATGCCCTCCTGTCTCAGAGCGTCTTGTTACCCACTGGTGAGATCTGAGGCTGGTAACAGAGTCAAAATGCTGAATATCAAAGCAGAAGCATTAAACGATTCACTTTATAGGTGAATGTTTTTGTGTTGCCAGCACTTAAGGAGCTCAGCGCTTAGAAGGATAGAGAGAGAGAGAGACAGGGAGGAGGGATAAAATGAACAAAGACAGAGAGATGCAGAAAATGCCTCTGCAGAGAAACGCCTCTTATCACTGGAGCTCAGTCTGATAAACACAAGCAGAGACTAGAGACTCTGCTGCTCTCTGTCTGTGTGTCTGTTAGTTTTCTGCTACCCTTCTCTCCCTTGCTCTCCTTCCTCCATCCCTCTTTTTTTTTTTTTTTTTTTTTTTTACTCCTCTGTCTTTCCTCTTTCCATTTTGTTTCTCACTCCTGCTCATCTTTCGGTCCCTTTACTGCTGACTCACACTAAATCAAAGCTTCATGAGTGTGGATCGATCCAGTCGATGTCAGTTCATGTCTCATCCAATCCCACCCCACGCTGCTGTTGCATTCCATCTCTATTCTGTCTTCTGTCTTTTGCAAAACACTTGCTTTGCTTTATTGTTTAG